GGGAGAAGCAGGCTTCCCGCCGAGCAGGGAGCCCGATGCGGGACTTGATCCTGGGACTCCAGGATCATGACCTGAGCCGAAGGCAGTCGCTTAACCGGCTGAGCCACCCAGCGACCGATTGCTCTTCATCTTGGCTGCACTTCTTTACATTCCCTCCAGCAGTGTATGAGGGTTCAAGTTTCTCTGTATCCTCCCCAGCGCTTGTTATTGTCTGTCTTTTCAATTCTAGCCATCTGAGCAGGTGTGAAGTGGTATCTCACTGTAATTTTGATTTGCATTTCCCTAATGACTAATGGTGTTGAGTATCTTTTTATGTGCTTATTGGCCCTCTGTACATCCTCTTTGGGGAATACCTCTGACTTTTTAAGCCCTGGAGATACCAGAATTGCTCAAACTCTGCAAAGATTTCCAGTTGTCTTGTAGGATATAATCCAAACTCCACCAGGCCTTCCCAGCCTGTCACAATCTGACCTCACTGACTTCTCATCTCTTCACCTTCCACATCCACTCTTGCTCACCCTCCTGCAGCCACACTGGCCTCCTCAGTGCAGGCTCAGGGCCTTTGCACTTGCTATTCCCTCTGCCTGGGACATTCTTCTTCCAGTGCTCACCATAGCTGGCTTTCTAGTCGGCATGAGATTCCTCTTGCTGCTGTAACAAATTGCCACAAATTTAACGGCTTAAAAACAGCACACATTTATCATGTTACAGTTCTGGAGGACAGAAGTCCTGAAATCAAGGTAGTCAGCAGGGTTGCATTCCTTCTGGATACTGCAAGGGAGAGTCCATTTTCTTGCCTAAATTTTTCAGCTTCTAGAGGCTGCCTGCATCCCTTGGCTCACAGCCCCTCCCTCTACCTTCAAAGCCAACTGCATAGCATTTTCAAATCTCTCTCTGACCTCAGCTTCTGTTATCATACCTTTGAATCTGACATTGCTGCCTCCCTCTTATAAGGACCCTTGTGATTACATGGGCCCACTCAGATAATTCAGGCTCCTTGTATCTCGGGACCCTTAATATAAGCCCATCTGCAAGGTCCCTTTTGTCATGTAAGGTCCCATAGTCATAGGTTTTGGGGTTTTTGGGATACTGACATCTTTGGAGGTCCATAGTTTTTCAGGTCTCGGTTCATACTTCCCCTTATTCTAGAGGCCTCCCCTGCCCACCCCCCCATTATTGTCTGTACCACCACTGTTTTATTTCCGCTGTTCCACGTAACAAACCTTGATATTACCTTATTCCTTATTTATTTATGCCTCTCTCTCCCTGGAGAATGTAAGCACTGTGAGGCCAGGGACGTCACCCATCTAGTTCACGCCTGTATTCCCAGAGCCTACAGCACAGTGCCTGGCCAGTGGACAGACTCTCAGCACTTGAATAAATGATGAGCTGAAGGCTGTAGGAGTGGTGAGGCCATGGGGCATGTGCACTTCTCCCCCCACCGAGAGGGCTTTGAGCCCAGGGCAGCCATGGTGCATGTTGGGTTGGGGTTCGCTGGGCTGGGGGTCAGTCATGGCCCCATTTAGCTGCTCCTTGCCAAGCCACAGTGTTGTCCAGCTTTCTCTTCGTCAGAACTGGTGGTCACCATTGTCCTTCCATCTCTAAAGAGTCTCTGCTTCTGTGAGTCATTTCGAAAAGATGGTCCCTTGTGGTACTGGGGCCGTGGGGTGGGAAGATTCTTCTTCAAGTGATTTAGAAAATCACATGGCCACACATATGTATGCTCTTTGGCTCTGACAATTGTTGGCAGATATTGTGGCTGCTCTCTGTTCATTTCCCTATGATCACAGCTGCATCCATTTTTGCCCTTGGGGGAAAACAGGCTCCTTACAGCTTCCTCCACCCAGATGTCTTCCAACGGGTGGGGAGGCAGGGGTTCCTTTGTTGTGCTAGGCTTTGTGTATTGTCCTACTTTGTCCCTGTCTGGCTGTGTGATTCTGGGCAAGTGACTGCCTCTCTCTGAGCCTTTCGTGTCCTCATCTATAAAAACGGAGGTGAGTTGCCGAGAGGCTTAGGGAACATGTTGTGTGGATGTTCCTTAGTGTTTTTCTCTTAGCCAGGGAAGAGTCCCACTAGTCCTGACAAGGGTCTTTGGCCCTAGGGTGGGTCATTTCAGGAGGCTGTGTCGTGTCTGTTCCAGAGGGCTTTGAACATGGGCAAGATTTTCTACTCTCAGGGAACTCCTGCAGGATTCAGGGACTCAGACCTGGAGGGATGGTCCCACGTGGTGGCAACCACAGGGGACAGAAGCAGGTTTTCATAGAGTGAAGATGGTTTAATAATGACAGCTAACACTTATGTGACACTTTCTATGTACGAAGCACTATTCCAAGTACATCTGTATATGTAACTAATCGGATCCTGGCAACAACTTCTGAGGCAGGTGCGGTTGTTATCCTCATTGGCAGATAAGGAAACTGAGGCACAAGGGGAGGTGAAAGGCTTCCCCAAGTACACAGCAAGTAAGTAGCAGGATAGGATTTGAACCCAGGCCTCAGAATCCAAAATCTGGACCCTGAACCACCATTATACTGTCCTGCTGATAGAAATATGTACTTTTTTTAAAAAAAAATTTTATTTATTTGTCAGAGAGGGAGAGCACAAGCAGGGGGAGAAGCAGGCTTCCCGCCGAGCAGGGAGCCCGATGCGGGGCTTGATCCCAGGACCCTGGGACCATGACCTGAGCCGAAGGCAGATGCTTAACGACTGAGCCACCGAGGTGCCCCATAAGTATGTATTTTTATATCTGTAGAAAAGTGAAAGAATAGAAGCAAAAGTATGACCAGTGTTTGTTTTGGGTTCCTCCAAGTGGGATGATCTTGGGGACTTTGATTTTGTCCTGTTAGCCGGATCTTCTGTCATCATCAGGTATTTCTTATGTGCGTTGAGAAAAGAGCTAGGAACTTCGCAGGGTCTGTGGCAGTGACTCATTCCCCCCAGGTCTCTTATCTTGTCTTGACCCCGTTTTAAGGGGCTGGTTAAATGTTGATGGGTTGCTACCTTAAGCTACATCCCTGTCATGGAGCCTGTGAACTGTGAGGCCCCTCAGGGCTTAGTTCCTACTTCTCTCTTGCGGCCTGTAAGGAGAGCGCATCCCACAACGCTGTGGTTGAACATCACATCGGGGCTTCTGTTTTGCCCATTACATCACACTGCCTCTGAAGAGTGGGAGGCATGCCAGCGAACAGCCTGGCGTGCAAGGAGACGGTGCGGGGGAGGTGTTCCTTCCTCCTCTCTCCACTCTTTCCTCTCAGCTGCTGGAAGCAGCCCCTGACTCTGTTGACATCACTTCCTGCTGACCAGGAATCTGGCCTGGGGTTTCCAGTGACTAAAGTTACCACTGAGAACTTTCCATCCCTAACAGGCTTTCTCTCTTCGGGAGGCTGTCTTAACCTTTCCCATTCCTCCGGAGGGATGGGGTTGTGCAATGTAATCCTGCCACTCCCTGGCTCTGAGCTCTTCCAGAGTATCTGTGGCCCTTAGAAGTGAGTCCAAAGGCTGTAGCCTGGCCTTTGAGGCCCTTTGTAATGTGGTCCCCTTCCCTACTTCACTTTAGTAAATTCAGCAGAATACATGTGACCATTCAAAATGCCATTTATGAAGAGCTTGTAACAACTCGGGAAATACTTATGGTATAATGTTAATAGATGAGAGCAGGCTGCAGAATCTCACAGGCCAGCAACAACTGCATCTAGAACCCTCCTCTGCCGAGGGGAGGGAAGAGTTTGGGAAAGGGAAAGTACCCTAGTGGGATGCTGTGTAACTTGTTTCATAAGTGTTTTCTCCCCTTTCGTTTTCCAAGTTTTCTTTAGTGAACAACCATTAATTTTATAATGAAATATGTGAAGGAGGAATGCTTTATATTTACTACTGCCAGTGCCCCCCCCCCCCGCAAATTTTGTGGTGTTTCAGAGTGGACAAAGCGCTTTTAATGCACGGGCTCTCTTGATCCTGTAACAGTTCTGTGAGGATGCTGGGCCATGGGTTCCTTTGTTCTTTCTTTCGTTCATTCATTCATTCATTCATTCCCCCCTGCCAGGGCTGGGACCTAGGGGTGGGGAGAATGAGATACCCAGGGCAGAATTTAAGGAGGCACCTACTCTCCAGCTTCTGAGTGCAGGATCAGCCCCGAGAGTGAGCACCTCCTTAAATTTTGTCCCCATGAGTGCCTCCTTTGCCTCACCCTGGGCCTGGCCTTGCGCCCACTCTGTGCCAGGTGCTGATCTCTGTTCTGGGGACCTTCCAGTGGACAGAACAGAAAAAACTCCCTGTCTACACGGAGCTTCTATCCTAGGAGGGGAGGCAAGAGAAGTTCCATTACCTCCCCATCTACAGTTGAGGAAACTGAGGCTCCCACTGGTGAAGTGCCTTGCCCATAGCAAATAAGCAGCTAAAGGGCAAAGCCCCTGACCCTCTGGTCCAGTGGGCTTTCTCCTGTTTTGTGTGGCCGTGAAGTTGATATTTACACTCCAGTGTAGTTGATGTGCCAGTCCCACAGGTATCAAGTGGAGGCAGCCCTATACCTTGGGCTGCCGGTGGACCCCAGCTAAAGGTGGAATTTCAGGTGTGATGGGGTGCGAGAGAGAGTATGCTGTGGACAGAGCCCGCTAGCCTGGGGACCCTCTGGTGACTGCCTTTCTGACGCTAAGCAGAGCCTCTCCCTTGCCTTCCAGCCTCGTACGTGATCACAGACCTGACGCAGCTGCGGAAGATCAAGTCGATGGAGCGGGTGCAGGGCGTGAGCATCACGCGGGAGCTGCTGTGGTGGTGGGGCATGCGGCAGGCCACCGTCCAGCAGCTGGTGGACCTCCTGTGTCGCCTGCAGCTCTACCGCGCAGCCCAGATCGTTCTGAACTGTGAGTAGCCACGAGGCCCCGGGCAGCTGCCCAGGAGAGGGTTTCAGCATGAGCCGCACCTGCGGCCGGGAAACTTTGCTTCGTCTTAGAAAAAAGTGTAAATGAAAGAATTTACCGGGATGCCTGGGTGGCTTAGTTGGTTGGGCAACGGCCTTCGGCTCAGGTCATGATCCTGGAGTCCCGGGATTGAGTCCCGCATCGGGCTCCCTGCTCAGCAGGGAGTCTGCTTCTCCCTCGGACCCTCCTCCCTCTCATGTGCGCGCTCTCTCTCTCATTCTCTCTCTCTCAAACAAATAAATAAAATCTTAAAAAAATATATTAAAAAAAAAAAAGAATTTACCATCCACCTAAGAAATCCGTAATGGTGGTTCCCTGTGGGAGAGGGGCTGCGCGGCCAGGGATCAAGATGTTGGAGAGAGACTTTACTCTCAGTTCTTTTGTACCTTTTAAATTCTGCTTCTCGCTTCCAAAAATAAATAAATAAATAATGATTAAAAAAATACCTCTACATAAAAATCCAAAAAAGTCTACAGTAAAAATGATTTATTTTTTATTTATTTATGGTTTAGAGGCGGGGAGGGGCAGAGAGGAAGAGACAGAATCATAAGCATGCTAAACACCCAGTGTGGAGTCCAACGTGGGGTTCGATCTCAGGACCCTAACATCCTGAGCTGAAACCAAGAGTCGGATGCTTAACTGACTGAGCCACCCAGGTGCCTCACTAGCACATTCTTTTATTTTATTTTTAAATTAATTGATTAATTAATTAATTTTTAAAGATTTTATTTATTTATTTGACAGAGTGAGAGAGCACAAGCAGGCGGAGTGGCAGGCAGAGGGAGAGGGAGAAGCAGGCTCCCCGCTGAGCAAGGAGCCCAAAGTGGGACTCGATCTCAGGACCCTGGGATCATGACCTTAACCAAAGGCAGATGCTTTTTTTTTTTTTTTTAAGATTTTATTTATTTATTTGACAGAGAGAGACACAGCGAGAGAAGGAACACAAGCAGGGGGAGCGGCAGAGGGAGAGGCAGGCTCCCCGCGGAGCAGGGAGGCTGATGTGGGGCTCGATCCCAGGACCCTGGGATCATGACCTGAGCCGAAGGCAGATGCTTAACGACTGAGCCACCGAGGTGCCCCCAAAGGCAGATGCTTATCTGACTGAGCCACCCAGGCATCCCTAGCACATTCTTTTAACAACTGCATTGCGTTCATTTGACAGACATGCCATGATTTATTTACCTTACCCCTACTGGTAGGTGTTCACCTTGCTTCTTAGTTTTCTCCCATACACAGTGTTGTACCCTTAGACGTATGCACCGTATTTGCACATAGGTCAGTCTAGCTGGAGGATGATTTTTAAATTTATTCTTATTTTTAATTTTTTAAAAGATTTTACTTATTTATTTGACAGAGAGAGACAGCAAGAGAGGGAACACAATCAGGGGGTGGGAGAGGGAGAAGCAGGCTTCCCGCTGAGCAGGGAGCCCAACTGGGGGTTTGATCCCTGGACCCAGGGACCATGACCAGAGCCGAAGGCAGATGCTTAATGACTGAGCGACCCAGGTGCCCCTGGAGGATGATTTTTTTTTTAGCATTGGAATGGCTGGGTTGAGAGTCTGTGTATTTTAAGTTTTTATTAATATTGGTGGCACCAATATTACCAAGTTATCCTCCTATCCACTATTACAACAACGGTGGGAACATATCTAGCAGGTAATAATCGCTCCCTATCATGAGGAGTGGCGGTAAAGTTGAAGAAGTAGAATTATGTCAAGTGCTTGGTGTTCGGCCAGTGCTCAGCTGAAGGCAGGAGGGATGATGGTTACTCCCATCTAGGTCCCCCGTTCCTCCTCATGTCCCCAAAGAGACCCCTTCAGTAGGGGGTAACGAGCCAGTCTTTTTTTTTTTTTTTTAAAGATTTTATTTATTTATTTGAGAGAGAGAGAATGAGAGATAGAAAGCACGAGAGGGAAGAGAGTCAGAGGGAGAAGCAGACTCCTTGCTGAGCAGGAAGCCCGATGTGGGACTCGATCCTGGGACTCCAGGATCATGACCTGAGCCGAAGGCAGTCGCTTAACCAACTGAGCCACCCAGGCGCCCACGAGCCAGTCTTTTAATAGGTACTTTCTGAACACATGCCCAGTGTCTGGTGCTGTCTTCATTTCTAGAATACAGTGATGGGCAAAGAGACAGGTCCTTTGCCCTCATGCAGGACATAGTCTTATGAAGGTATAGTCAATAGACCAGAAAATAAGTAAAAATAATGGGTTGGAGGGACCAGGTAGGAGAGCCTCCTAGAACATGTTAGTCACAGAAGGGCAGTTTGAGGAGGTGAAATCGGAGCAATGGAAAGAAGACAGCCATGTGAAGAGTTTGGGTAAGAGAGCCCAGGGAGAGCTTGTGGCTTTGACGGAACCAGCGTAGAGCTAGTGTGGGAGATAGAGAACAGTACGTTCTGAGCCCCGGAGACCTGAAGAAGACCCGGTGTGGGCCCTGGTGTTGTTCTGTTTTGGGGTTCCTGGGTTGGGCATAATGTGGCTGAATCAGTAGACCCAGGTTCAGCACTTTCCTGACTGTACCTCAGGCCTTCTGGAATCATGGAGGGCTTCCAGGAGGAGGGGGGGGTGGGATCTAAAGCAAGGAACTGAGGGATGGGGGTTTAGAGGCCTCCACCCTCAGAGATGTCAGGAGAACACGGGACATTGGGGTGGCCCTGCAGGTGGGGAGATCTAGAGATGAAACCCAAACCAGGCTTTCAGGGGCACCATAGGGGTAGATCACACTGGGCATAGAAGGCCAGTGGGGCAGCAGGACCCTCTCTCGCCCTTAGCCACTTGGCGACTCTCCAGGATTTAGGGCATCCAGGGACACGGTCTCACTAGATGAAGGACGGTTCCTCTCATAGCAGGAGTCCCTGTCTGGGGGCAGGTTGTGGGGAAGGAAGGTCCTGCTCACACGGCGGGGAGTGATGCACCAGCGTGAGACTCAGGCTGACCCCCCCAGCCCTCCAGCCCCAGCACTGTAATCTCTAAGTCAAGAGTGGGCACGTCTCCAGACACGGCCACCCCTAAGCCTCTGCAGCCTCGGCTCCTGTCTGGCTGCCTCCCCAAGCTCACTGTTTTCCTCAGACTTAGGGAGGGATGGTCCAGGGCTCGGCCGCCAGACTCCCCACGCCTCTGGGACTTCCTGAAACCCCTCCCTGCCCCGCCAGCCCTTCTGTCCTGAGAGGGTTCCCTTCAGTCCTGTCAGACAGTATCCCTCCCCTCACATGCCCCGCTCCCAGGTCCATGTCCTGGTCCGCTGGGGGTGCCTGGGGCAGCTGGGGGTGCTGTGGCTTCACAGGAAAGCGGTGAGGCAGCACAGCTCAGCCCTCTGCGGTTACATGGGCAGGTCCCTCCCTTTCCCTGGGCTTTAGTCTCCCCGCCTTGGTCCGGCGGAGGTGGGCTGGATGACGTCGGAGCCCCCCTGGGACACTCATGGTGCCGTGGCCCCCCATCGTCCCGTGGACCTTGTGGCATTTCAGTTGGCTGGTGTGACTGGCACCTGCCCCTTTAGCCGTGTGCAGACCCTGGCTTCTCTGCACCCCCAGAGCCTGGTAGATGGGGAGAAACGGTTAGCACCGAATGTGCCCTTAGGTGTTTTTCACATTTTGAGAGAATTAATGATAGACTCCTAATGGGCTGGAAAAGAGGCAGGGAGGGAGGGGGAGGGGCAATGCCGCTGGATCAAGTGCAGTCGGAATCCAGGGGCCCGGGTTTCCAGAGCCGTCCACTCTGGGGAGGGGGCTGGCAGCTCAAGGCCCGCAGCACACCCTGGTTTTGTCTCTCCCAGGTGGCTGAGATGCTGCAGGGTTGTCCCAAGCCCCGAAAGCAGACAAGCACCAGGGGTTGGGAAAGGCCTCTGGTTGGACATAGCAGCTTGCCGTTGACGTCAAAACCTGACTGTTGACTCATCTGGAACATATTCTTAATGATTTGAGGTCAACAAACAAAATAGTGCCAACTTCAAAGAAACACACTCGTGGCAGCGTGACACTTGGTTTTAAGCTAACAGTGACTGAGCACTTTCGATGTGCCAGTCTCCTCCCAACAGTTCTGAGGAGCCCCTTCTCCCCCTGAGGAAACGAGAATGGCTAAGTGATTCCCCCTCCTCCCTGCAAGGGCACAAGTCTGGTCATGGGTAGGGATGGAGGGTGCACCCAGGCGTGTCTGGATCCAGCACCCTCGTTCTTAGCTTTTCTCACAGAAACCTCTTTGGGCTTCCAGACAACAGCCATAGTTTCTCTGTCAGCCTGTCTTCTGTCTAGAATTTGACTCAGATCGCTGCTGTCCTGGTCCGGCTGCCTCCAACCTGTCAGGACTATGTGAGTCTACCTTTGTTCCCCAAACCTCTTCTCTCTTCCCCCTCTAGCCCTGCTGATTAAATCTGCCTGAGGAAGAGAGACTGAGGCTTCTTTCCACATCCACACATCCCCTGGCTATTCTTCTGAGAGCCTGGGTGTGTTCTTACTGTTGCTTTGCGTCCTCAGGCAGGACACTTCCCCTTTCTGTATTGTTATTTTCGTTAGTTTAAAAAAAGCAGAAAGTGCTATAAATCTCTGCCCCTTTGTGGAGGTGAACACAGAGGGCGTATTCTCTATGTGTGAAGCATTTTAAGTTTCTGTAGTCCAACTAGTCAAAGCCATTTTCCCTTCCCTAATCATAACATTAAACCTTATTTTTCATAAACTTGCTCAGCTGCTTCCAGCAGTTGGAGAACCCGACTTCTGCCTACCACTTCTTTTTTTTTTTTTAATTTTATTTATTTATTTGAGAGAGAGAGAATGAGAGATAGAGAGCACGAGAGGGAAGCGGGTCAGAGGGAGAAGCAGACTCCCTGCTGAGCAGGGAGCCCGATGTGGGACTCGATCCCGGGACTCCGGGATCATGACCTGAGCCGAAGGCAGTCGCTTAACCAACTGAGCCACCCAGGCGCCCTGCCTACCACTTCTTAAAGGGCTT